TCTGCCAGCTGCTTCAATGTAAATACTTGAGAGCATAGTATTTGCCTCATCAATTGATTGTTGTGTATTGTCAAAATGTTTAATGTTAAAGTTATAATATCTCTGCTTTATAGCGTTAGGTTGAATATCAAATTTGACTCGCTATTCCAAATGTAAGTGTCAGTTTCATGTACTAATTTATTACTGTGGGAGTGTGTTATTTTCGAAATATTATTTGTGTAAATTGCATTTGTTTGAAGATGAAAAGTTATTTGGCAGTGATCTGAGAGTAATAAATTAAGAGGGTGAACATAGAATAGATTAATTTTGTTAAATAGATTATTGCTAACAATAGTGTAGTCAACTACACTGCTGCCTTTAGTTTGATGACAAGTGTACTTGCCAGTTTTATCTCCTATACATCTACCATGTATTGACGCGAGTAGATCGTCAGGCCAGTGTGGTGTGAATGTGTCTAATCGTGGCTCCATGATTTACCCAAACCTTTAGTAGTTGTGAGCCGGGAAGACAGTGTCAGCTACGTCTGTTACATTATACTATGCCACGTCGACGTACTGATATCAGAATAGTCAATCTAATAAGAAAGTCTGTAACACATAGTACAGTTTTTTATCTTACCGGCATATTGGCAACACTGCAACTCACGGTAGGGACTTCTGATTGAGACGCTTACGGTGGGTTATACCACTTTGACAGAGGTGTCCAGTTATCTTCTTGCATTGCCGTATATTCAAATCCTAGCCTTTCATTCTTTAAATTACGATTGTCATAGTATTATACCTCTGGTTTATATAGTATGAGGTCGTTGACAAAACGCTAATTTCAAAAATGGCAGATATACATTTTTATTATGCAATACCTCATAACATTATACAGGGGTCACAATAGCAGGCGAGTCCATGTTATGTCTTTGTGTATATATTATATATTGCTGAGGGCGTAGTGCGTGAAATATATGGAGGAAAAGACAGGCGAAGAATGTTTGACCCCGTCTGGTAGTGGTGACCTTGATAAGATTTAAATGACGAAGATTTGTCATCACGAGTTGTATAGGTCGAAGAGCTTCTTGCAGCCAAAAATTTATCCTACAGTGTTGCTTCAGCACTGAAACTATGCGATAAATTATATTTTTCAAACATATTTTTTGACACGTTTTTTTTTTTGATGTCTTAGAAAATTTTCTATATTTTTAGTGGGTTCATAAAAAGGAGATGTAGTCATTGAAGTTTATTGAGACCGCTGCTAAACTGTTACTACCTGTATATGCATATTATTTTACCGCCCTCTAAAAACAGATTTACAGTGAACCAACAAATTTACGTACTGCAAGAAACTTGGTAGTATGCCATTGGTTAGTGCATTTAATTTGTTTGATGCAATCATTGTGCCAGCTATTTCTTATGGTAGCGATATGGGGGTACCAAAATTCGGAAATCGAGAGGGTACAGACAACATTTTGCAGATATATCTACTTAGCATTAATAGTTGTGCAAACAATGTAGCGATGTTGGACGAATGTGGAAGGATGCCATTATGCTGTGGTTATTTCAAGTGTTGTATCTTATATTGGTTAAAATTAAATAATAAATAGCTGGAACTCCAAAACATGTTATATCATGCTTAAACGGCAAGACCCGCAGACTTACTTGGGAAACCCACATAAAAATTGCCTGTTCAAATATGATTTCGGCATTGTCTGGTTTGAAAAACAAGTTGCAGATACTGCAAATTTCTTAGGGATATTTACTCAAATAATAAAAAAATTGTTGTCAGCAAGAATGGCATGCCCCAATTTCACATTCATCCAGGCTGTGTACTTTCGGAAAAAATAAAGTAGTATTATAACCTGGAAGATTTATTGACAAGCTATAGACTAAAATATATACTGACGAGTTTTTGCTGTTTTGGCCATAAACATAATGTTGAATTAGGCAGACACACAAAAATACAGTTAGATCAATAAATTTTTAGTTTTTGCAGTGATACGTTTGAATTTAGCATGGTAGACAATTGAAATTCACTTTGTTTTCATATGTTCATTTTATAATGATCTAAGGGTTGATCTTTTGTCAATAATTTTATGCAATTATGCAAATACTGACAATCTGGGCTTACTTCGTCGCTACACAAACTGCCACACCATATATCATATAGCTCTGTATCTGTACGTTTTCAAGCGACGAGATAAATATGTATCCAGCTTAACTTAGTACCATATGTTTACATGGATGTTGTATTGTTTTCAAAACGTGATATGCACTTTTCTACCCATTACATTTTGTACGATGTGGTGAGGCCCTGTACAGAAATAAAATTACATAATACAAAATTGACTAATACTAAAATGAATAATTGTAGACAGATTTCGACATGAATTTGTGCCACTTTTATATGCGCTAACATCTGTGAAGAGCAAAAAAGCTCGTGAGTAGCATTCTACCTTAAAATGCTTAGACAATAATGCTAAGATACGTACAGTCTTGTCTTTTTTGTGTACAATATTTTGCCGTAATGGATCAAGGGTGTGGGTGTGTTTGTCTGTGGGTGGGGAATGGCCTAGGACCCCTTCCCTAAAATGGTAAAATAGTTCAAAAATGTTATGTGGAATAACTTACCAACGTAACACAAAGTAAACCAATTGAATTTAAAACCGAGAATATAAAAATGTATGTAACAGAGCTCAAACACACTTTTTGAATATTATAAAATTCACGCGTTTCACATCAAATATATCATTTATTGTTGTTTTCGGACCCCCTATTCAACGGGCCTGGTAACAGTCTGTCGAGTAATGTTACACCACTGTCATCTGACGTAATAGTGATAATAAAATGTTTAAATGCGATTAAATTACCAATATCTACTATATGGGGCAGCAATCTTGAATATGACTTGAAACTATTTCGGTAAATTACAATGTAAACGCATTTATTTTATTATCGTTTGTACGCCACCTGACTGTGCGTTACATCCACGTGGGTATCAGTATTTAACATTGCTGGCACTATGACTCATTCTTCAATTTCCATATTTTATTTATTGTCATTTTTTGTTTATTTGTGAATATTTTTGAGGTTTCACTCGCCGTTGCTAAATGTGGTACGATATGCAACAGGTTCATGAAGGCGTGAATTTGTTTTGTATTAAATGTTTTCAAATGACAGAGGACAGTTGGAAACAACCAGACGAATATGGGGACATGTACCGCCAGATAAAACTCCACTGACACTCTGGCTTTCTGCCAGTCTGTGCCAAACGATAATGGTGCCACTTATACTTGCATTCATTTAACCGATTTAACAATTATTGCAGCCATCGGAACTGTAACTTCGAACATATTTCAAATCTATGTGATGGGACACAGTCTTTTTATTAGTGATTGTGTTAACCCATGCGCTTTTGCCTACCGCCCTTCAAGTTGGTAGATGTTTCGGTTTTCGAAACAATATGGCGGTGAACTAATTTGAACGTTAAACAAAACAATAAATCTATTGCCCGTAACTCAAAGTTATTAACTGCTAGTTGAACATCGAGTTACAATTAGGACATGGGTTCTAAAATATGAGCGTATTCGTTTTTTGTAACTAGACGTTCCAAACAATTCAGTATCTCTTGTAGCGAACGATTAACCTCAACATTCAAAAGGTCTTTTGACAGATATTATATACAATAACAATGTCACAAATATGATTACAGATGGTTTCAATGTACTTGTCTAATGTAGACCTTTATACGGGTGCCACGTGTGTTAACTCTTTTTTTACAGCACTTGACAGCGCTTCATGATACCAAGGGCCCAATTTGTGTAGTGTGCCAGCCAGTTTGTACAGTCTGGTTTCGTCCTTGTTGTTTTTTAATATCTCAATTATTTTCATTGGTTTGTTTCTCTATACGAATTCTGTATAGTTCAACGGTTGAGTATTTTTTTCACTTTGTTGTGATGTGCTTTAACTTTTTTTATTCCATTTTATTAGTACATATTTAAAGTACAAGTATTTACAATTTATTAGCTGATCATCATGTATTGTAACAATGTATTGCCTTATCATCACACAACAAATCATTGCTTTAAATGACATTAAAAATCAAATCGTCAGCTATTACTCCGTTTCGTCAATTTTATCTAATTTAGATAAAATATGTGCTTCTGGCCTCCCCGTGCCAGGGTTTAAATTCATCCAATACTCTTTTGTTACCCTGAAAAGATAAATATTGAGTTGGTCTAAATAGCATATTTATTCCACTATGTAAGCACGAATGTTAAATTAACAGTGTTACTTTTATTGTGTTTTTACTAAAATGAACAGGTACCCGAATTGGAGTTTAAAAAGTGGGAAACAGCTACTGTTTCAAGTTGAAGAAGTTAAGCAAAAGAAACCGACAGTTATTAGACATTAGTTAGAACAGTATTCTCACAAAACATATACTGCCTGGGTGAAGTGGATTCAAATACAAACAGCTCAGAAAACTGCAGAAGCGAACAAACAAGCAGAGTGAGCAGTCAGCTGAAGAATTTGACTACAACCCCTCCCCCCTTAGCTGGGCAAACACTAGAGCGAGCTGTAAAAATACAGCCAGAATGAATTAGTAATTTGGTGGTAAACATCAGAATTTAAAATCCAAAATACTTCTCAACAGATTTGAATTAGGTAAAATGATATAATGCATTCCATGAGTATCTTCTGTTTTTCATCCCCATTCCATTCCAAACAACATTCAAATCAATCAAATGTTATATATATATATATTACCTACCTATGCACCATGATCTTATAGTTAGTTTGTGCTATATCTTTCCCCCATAGTGAGTTTTTATCATGACCTGGTGGACGGAATCCTCTTTCTTCTGCAAGCTGATGGAATAAGTTGTGTAATAGTAATTACAGTTATAGTAACTCAACATTCAGATATAATCATCTCATCAAATTGTGAAATTTTAAGTAATCTAGTTACATAATATACGGAGTCAAGAATGAGTACACACCTCCTCTGCAATCGCCCTGATATGATATGGTTCGAATCCACAGCATCCTCCAATGTAACGTATCCCTAATTCATAGGCTTCACGTGCAAACTTGTGTGCTTCAGCCCGTGTTATTATACGAGATTCTAAAGCTGAGAGAAGAAGATGTGATGATTATAAGCTCACGCATATTATTTTATATCCGGCCATAGAAGGGATAGACATTGTTCTTATTTGTTTTAAAAATTCTCACTTATCAATGAAATTTTGCATCTCATTCAATAATAACAGTCAAATGTTCTATATCGATGACATCACTTTGAACATTGGCATGGATACCACTGCGAAAGTCGTGTGATATTTCATATATAAATTGGTTTAATATTGGTATTATATAGTTGTTAAATAATCTTACCAAATGGAAATTCTGGTAACGCCATATACCCGTCAATATGTTCATTGGCCTCGTGTGTGTGAAACCCAACTGGTTGTGCCATCAGAAAAGGGTTCAATCCAGCTTCATTTAATGCAGATTTCATTACTTTCATAGTTTTTATACAGTTTTCTGGATCAAATAGGCAGTTTATGCCTACCACATCAGCACCTATGATATGAGCAAATGTGTGTACACGTTAAATGCAAACAATTACCAAACAGAAAGAAAAGTAACAAACAACAGTTACTGATATCGTCGACTACCAAGAGAAAATGTGTCAATTTCTAAGCTCACGTTTGCAATAAAAAATGTGAACAATGAGCAGTCGGTATTTTGTAAGGCAGATATTCGTAAGAAATGCCATACTCAAATTTACTAGATGATATGTATATTGAACAGCGACAAATTCATTAATTAACTCAGTTCCCCGTTACCCAATAGCAAAAAATGTCCATGCCTGATTTAGCCATTCTGATGGCACATTCTGCTGTGCTAACTCCATTCATGTCTCCTATTGTTGAGATTCTCATAGTTGCAGCTACAGGTTTTTCATATTTTTTCAGGACTTCCATACCCCACTCTAGCTCCTCTACATGACCGAAAAACTGAATCAAGCAATACATCATGTTGTCATAGTATAAAGGTACATTGTCCTGCCGCTATTTATCTGATATTTGTATCCACAGAAAGAGGAAAGGTGTTCTTTTTATGTAAGTGTTAACCTAATATGTCCATACTGTCAAGATATCTGACATGGTTAAACACACAGGAAATATGTTACAAAGGTCTCCATATTATGTAAGTATAACCTAATATGTCCATACTGTCAAGATATCTGACATGGTTAAACACACAGGAAATATGTTACAAAGGTCCTCCATATGTAAGTGTTAACCTAATATGTCCATACTGTCAAGATATCTGACATGGTTAAACACACAGGAAATATGTTACAAAGGTCTCCATATTATGTAAGTATAACCTAATATGTCCATACTGTCAAGATATCTGACATGGTTAAACACACAGGAAATATGTTACAAAGGTCTCCATATGTAAGTGTTAACCTAATATGTCCATACTGTCAAGATATCTGACATGGTTAAACACACAGGAAATATGTTACAAAGGTCTCCATATGTAAGTATAACCTAATATGTCCATACTGTCAAGATATTTGACATGGTTAAACACACAGGAAATATGTTACAAAGGTCTCCATATGTAAGTATAACCTAATATGTCCATACTGTCAAGATATCTGACATGGTTAAACACACAGGAAATATGTTACAAAGGTCTATATATGTAAGTATAACCTAATATATTCGTACTATCAGGATATCTGCTAACTGTATCCATAGAAGGAGGATGTTATAGAGTTCTTCATATGTAAATGTAAACTTAATATGTACACTTGGCAAAGTATCCGATATTTTCATCCATAGAACAGGAAGGATATTATCAAGGTATCTGATATGGATATTCAAAGGCAGGTTCTGGAATAATCCCTTCTCTACTCACCTCAGCTAATAGAAAATCGACATCCTTTTCAATGAAAACCTCACATTGCTTATCAAACTCTTTCTGTACAGCTTCCTTTCCGATACCTTTTATGTAACCAGGTGTTGGTGATATGCCACCACATACCAACGCATCGCCCTCGTCTGCAACTTCTCTAGCAATGTCACATGCAGCACTGTTTATCTGTTTACTCTGTAACACAAATCGCTCAAGAATGTGATATAGGTCATACAAATAAAACTTAAAATAAACAAAGTGTTGTGTTTGTTAATTTCTATCTCAAATGTAAGATGCATGTGATACATTTGTAGTCAAGATTATTTTTAATTGAATTGTTTCCACTCAAATCACCCGTCTGTATTCCTAATATTTCTATCCACCACCATCCAGATATTCATCCTAATTCAGAAAATGTGGTTTCCAAATGCGTTTTAATAATATTACCGTAAGATTGCCAATATCTTTGGATACATTTTTACCAGACAATCCTTTGTCTTGCAGTTTGTCATCTGTGGCATAGAATGTGAATGTTTGCACTACATCAGCACCTGCACGCACAAACTCACGACTAAGTTGTCGAACTGAAATCGAAGACATTAGATTAATTAAATGTAATTAGAGGAAATTGTATATGTATATAGCTTTTAGTATGTTTTATAATTTATATTATTCTAAAATAATATTCTGTTGGTAGTATCAAGGTTGTATGACTTAATTTATCACCAAAGAATGGTCGACATATGTTGTGTTGAGAACATTTTATAATACAAATGATAAAGCCAGAGTTTATGTTAAATTGTGGCCTTCAGATATAGAAAATCGACATGCACACAATAATGTTGTGTTTCACGTGAGATGACAGCGTTGTATAAATAATTACAATATATTTATT